TGGGAGCATAGTGCGTACAACATCCAAGAGCACGTACAATTTTCACATGATCAGAAAACAACAAGCATCAGTTTAGTTTCAAAGCAAACATCACAGGGATAAAAATACAACGATTAACAGATTTAATTACCTTTTGCATATCGAAAATGAAAGTAACATTTGAACCAGTTTTTAAATCCAAAGACAACTTCAAATTCTCCATAGACCACTACCATGTCCTACAATTTTCTTTGTCTATAACTGCCCAAGCAAGTGGATAAAAAAGGTTCATACAGTCCTGTCTAATTGCCACCAATAACTGACCCTTGCACTTTTCCTTTAAGAAGGTACCATCTAAACCAATAAGTGGTCTCAAACTATTTTTCCAACCTTCTTTCAGAGCTTGGAAGCAAGTGTACATTCTCAAAAACCTCATTTTTCCTACTTCAAGTGCATCCTTTGATAGGTTAATTACAAAGTCAGTGCTTGAATTTATATGTCTAATTTCCTTTTCATAGGATTCTAACTTGTTATATTCATCTCTAAAGCTGCTCTCTAGCCTCTCAAGGGCCAATCTTTTAGCCCTTTTCAGCTTACTTTTAGACACATTCACCTGAAAAGTATTATCCAACTGCCTTGTCATATCTTTGACAGCATACTTAGGATTGTTCTGCACATGCTTCTTGAAATACAAAGCTAAAGTTTTATAACCAGCTCTGGGATTGTCAGAACAGTCATCACATAGATGTTTGGACTTTGACTTTAAGCTTCTTCTTATTAGCTAAAGCATAAAAGCCCACCACATGTCTTGCTTAGTCACAACTATAATGTTCAAGCCCATTAGTCACAACTCTTCTTATTTCTTTGTCAATTCCATCAAAGTCATTACTATCATTTTCACTACCTTCCATTTCTTCTAATATAGTATCACTCGTTTCATATTCATAATCAATCCCAACATCAATATCAACAGTATATGTCCTATGTGTTGGATAATATTTTGGAAAGATAAATTAAGATCATACTCATCTACTGCAAAGAAATCAATCACCTTGAACTCATTAGGTCAGAGGAATTTAAGTACCTTAATTCCTCCAGATTTTCTTACCTACCAGAGGCACCAGTTACCAACAATTGCTTAAAAGTAATATACCCTAGTTTGGAAGTGGATTCTTCACAAATGTCCTTGTAGGAAAGTAAATGTACATCATAATGAAGTTAGGAGTGTAGAAATCTTTTATTGTAGACTAGTTCAGGTGAATGATCCAACTGCCTCCATAATAGAATAAAATATCAACTTCTTCAATTATCTTCAATTAGCACATGTGACAACAAAGAAAATGGCAAACACAAAGGGACCACCTCAGCATTGAAAGCAACAATTCAAAAATAGAGTAAAAAAACCATAAAAAGGAATACATTTATTTAGGGACCACCAACCACTACAAACAACAATTTAATACATAAAGCAATATAGTTCAAAAAAGGAATTAAAAAGCACTAGGAACCAGTACAATTCGGAGATTGAATTAAAAATTCTAAAAAAAAGATTCATTCATTTGGGGACCACCAACCCCCACAAATAGATATATACTACAATAAACCAACATATTAAGACACAAAACAGGTGAATAAACTAATAAAATGATCACAATATCAAGAAATATCACACGACTCTCTATCCCTATTTTTAACTACAAACCTCTACCCCACGGTTGAAATACTAATAAACCAGTAAAAAAAACTTACCTTGACAAAAAACGACAAGCTTCAACAACAAAATCACCCTTCGATCGGAGATGAACATTGCTTCAAAACCCTAGCCGTTCGTTCATTTTGGGGATTTTGTAGGAAGACAACAACAACAACAACAACAATCCAGTATAATCCCACGTGTGGGTCTGGGGAGGGTTGTGTGTACGCAGACCTTACCCCTGCCCCAGAGGGTAGAGAGGCTGTTTCAGAAAGACCCTTGGCATAAGGAGATGAAAAGGGGCAACAATAACAACCACATATGTCAAGAAGACAGTGTCAGCAACCTAAGAATCAGAAAAATAAATGGAAAAAACAATATAAATAATCAGAATAATGGAAAGGTACTAGGCAATCAGAGCAGAAAATAATACAGACACAACAAGTACCACTAACAATCTAAAGCAAGACACTACAAACTAGCCTAAAACCCTCAACAGGGAAGAAAGACGCTCAACTACCTACTAACATACCAACATAATGCTCGCCCTTCAAGCCTTCCTATCTAAGGTCATGTCCTCGGTGAGCTGGAGTTGCGCCATGTCCTGTCTGATCACCTCTCCCCAATATTTCTTGGCCGCCCTCCACCTCTTCTCACACCTAACAAAGCCAACCGCTCACACCTCCTAACAGGGGCGTCACGGCTTCTCCTTCGCACGTGCCCGAACCATCTAAGCCTCGCTTCTCGCATTTTGTCATCTATGTGCGCCACCCCCACCTTAGCTAGAATATCCTCATTCCTAATCTTATCCAATCTAGTATGCCCGCACATCCACCTCAACATCCTCATCTCTGCTACTTTCATCTTCTGGATATGCGAGTTCTTGACTGGCCAACATTCTGCCCCATACAACATAGCCGGTCTAACCACCGCTCTATAAAACTTGCCTTTAAGTTCTGGTGGCACCTTTTTATCACACAAGACGCCAGATGCTAAGCTCCATTTCATCCATCCCGTCCCTATACGGTGTGTGACATCCTCGTCAATCTCCCCGTTCCCCTGTATAATTGACCCAAGATACTTAAAACTCCCTTTTTTGGGGATGATTTGTGAATCAAGCCTTACGTCACTGTCCGCTTCCCCGTTACGTCACTGAACTTGCACTCCAAGTATTTTATCTTAGTCTTGCTCAACTTGAAACCTTTAGACTCCAGGTTCTGTCTCCAAGCCTCCAGCCTCTCACCGACACCGCCTCGCGTCTCATCAGTCAGGACTATATCATCAGCAAATAACATACACCATGGCATCTCTCCCTGAATATGGCGCGTTAGCGCGTCCATCGCCAAGGCAAATAGGAAAGGACTAAGCGCTGATCCTTGGTGTAACCCCACAACTACCGGAAAATGGTCCGAGTCACCTCCCACTGTCCTAATCCGAGTCTTAGCTCCATCATACATGTCCTTAATCACCCTAATGCACGTTATCGGAACACATTTAGCCTCTAAACACCTCCAAAGAACCTCTCTCGGGACCTTGTCGTACGTGTTCTCTAGGTCAATAAACACCATGTGTAAATCTTTCTTCCTATCCCTGCACTGTTCCACCAACCTCCTACTGAGATGGATAGCTTCCGTAGTTGAACGGCCAGGCATGAACCCGAATTGCTTCTCTGATATAGACACCGACCTCCTCACCCTCGCTTCCACCACCCTCTCCCCCACTTTCATAGTATGACCAAGCAACTTAACACCCTTATAGTTGTTGCAATTCTGGATATTACCTTTGTTCTTGTATAACGACATTATCGTACTCCATCTCCATTCCTCTGGCATCTTCTTCATCCTAAATATAACGTTAAATAATCCCGTCAACCACTCTGCGCCCTCTCTACCCACATACCCAAAACTCAACTGAATTTTATCTGGCCCAGTCGCTCTGCCCCTACTCATCTTACGCATAGCCCCCACGACCTCCCCGACCTTAATACGCCTATAATACCCAAAATCACGGTGACTCTCGAAGTGCTCCAAATCACCCAACACAATGTCACGGATTTTGTAGGAAGAGAAATGTTAAAAGGTAAAATAGTGAAAAGAACAAGGGGTTAACATATTAATTTAGTGGGTTAGGTAAAGATTGGGGGTGGGCCGGGGGGTGCGGTAGGAAAAAAGAGATGGGTGAGGGTATTTTTTTAAATCCATGTGGCTTTTTTAATTAGGTTTGGATTTTTAAATGGCGTGCAAAACTATATTCCACGTGTATTTATGAGTCTTCCGTTTGTGATGGAGGACATATACGAGCCCATTTGTTCACGACAAGGGCAGAGTAGAGACCAACTTTTAACGGAGGGCTAGCTTGTCCTATTTCATATAGTGAGGGGCATTTCAGGCCCTTTTTCGTTAATTAAATAATTACTGGAGACCAAAAGTGCTTAATTTTGTCAAACTTGGAGGACCATAACTACTTCAAAGTATACTTAAAAAGCCATTTTGAACCTAAACCTAAACACAAGGAACTATTTTTGCCATATGTAACTCTTCAAAGCCATTATGTAACTCTTCAAAGTGATGGAAGCTATTTCACCTTTTTTTTTGTTTGTTGAAAACTGCGTGCTTCATCTCTATTTGTCTGATTAATTGAGGTTCATAAAAATTGACTTACATATGACCGTTATAATCTTCATGTAGAAGAATAAGCATAGTTTTGCTATGGCAGCTGGTTGGTGCCTTTTGAAAGGATGTGGCATTACAATGCATTTTTTGTTTGTTTAGGTAAAGACACGACCATTCATAATTGTCTGTATGTCTACAAGCAGAATTGTTGATCGCTTACTTAAATATATGAAGTTGTGGTATTTGTACCGAATATGCAAATATACGAGAAAAACTCATAATAAAAGAAAATTCTTCAAAATTGCTAGTTGCGACTAATAACTTTGTAAATATGGCGAATACATCATGCTTTAAAAAGATGCTCTTATTAGTATCTATCAAACATCTTCTGCCGAACATTTTGGTTAACAATGTCAATGGCGATTATAAAATTATTTAATGAATCTTTGTGCATAGGTCTCAGAGGATTACAAGATTCAGCGCGATTAGTTTGGGATTGGATTGCAGTTAATTAATGAAATTAAAATCACCAAATTAAGTGGTGAAGTTGTTTGTCACCTTACTGCAGCTCTCTCTACGCTCACCTTTAAGTTGCCTTTTTTAAATAAAAAAAATTCATATAAATGTAATAACACATGGTACGTTTTAATACAAAGTAATGATACTGAGATAAATGCATAATATATATATATATATATATATATATATATATTCACTTCAATGGAACAATTCTTGATCAATTGGAGGAACAATATTCATTTTTTGCACTAAGATATCAAAGTGGATGAGAATCATGTAGGTCATCTAGGAGCTTTAAATAAAGTAGCATCGCCCAAACAAATTGCATTAATATACTCAGGGGGACCATGAGCCGGCATGCCCGGAAATAGGAGTCCATACAACCTAAGTGCTTGAAGAAGCAAGCTTTCTCTGTATTCTGTTCCATACAGATATGGAAGAAGAAAGCTTCTCACCAATTCCCACAATGCATCCACCCTCTTTGATATTAGTGATCTCAGAGAAAAGTAATTTCTGTCTGGTTCTTCTGAAACGATCTGTGGCACATAATGTTAAAAGTGAGATCAGTATCCTAGAAAGCGAGGCATGTTAAAATTACATTGATTCATAAGACATTCTTGTTTTACCCACCTTTCCTTCATATATGCTGCTATAGTAAAGGCATGTTCCAAAGTGCTTAAAATGCAGGCTAGTGTTATCATAAGGCAACCTGGTAACAATATCATGACTGTAAACGAATCTATAATATTCAATGCCATAGTTCTTGAATTGTTCCTTCATGAAGTCCCCGAACTCGCCATCACCTACCCTTGGCTGCCCAAATGTGTAAATTGCTTCCAATCTTTCTAGTATAATAGCCTCATTGTGGAATGCTAGAACCGCTGCAAAAAGAAGTGCGAGTGCACCACCTAAGCTGTGTCCTGTTAGAACAAATTTGGTTTTGTTATTTTTCTCAAAGTAGTCTCTTAGTTTTTCCCTGATAGTGTAATATGCTACTGGGTGTTGGTCATCTTGTGGTATATTGGCAGGCCAACTTTCATCTTTCTGTAAGCCCATAGCCTTCATGAAACCGCTGTGGACTTTGCCGATGCTGTGGAATTTGTACCAAGATATGTCGAAATCTGTACTCCAATCATCTGAATTGAAGGGTTCAGTACCTCTAAATGCCACAATAATTCTATCTGGACTGCTTGTTTTATCATGAAACATGAAGCCTTGAGTCGATTTTGTTTGGTGATACTCTGCCAAGCACAAGTTGTGTTAGAGAAAATATACTCATAAAAAGCAAAAATCGAACAATAGAGTGATTGACTATTACCGTTCCAAAAATCGTACGCACCCAGTAACTCCATCTGCATAAAACGCAAAACATGTATATGAGCTATCGAACCAAATAGCGATGCACTAATATGTTAAATGAACGTATATGAGCTAGCATACCAATTAATGACAAATACAGTATACAAGTTTTTCATATCATATTTATTTTTTTCTGCTAATTGAATTTAGCTTAGTGAAATGCGAGTTAATTAGATGTGACCTTCCATTGATCTTCAACAGTAGCTCGGATGAAGGCTTTATTCTCGTAGGCTATTTTTGATGCAATTGCAGAAAGTGCAACAACATATGTTTTATCCCATGGTTTGAACTTGTTGTGACAATCCACTCTCGGGTCTATAAATCCAATAGCGGATAGATAGCTGGCTGACTCTTTTTCTGGCATCACTACCTTCCCTACCAATAGTAATGTAAAATCACAAATTAAAATACTGAATTATATATATATATATATATATATATATATATACATATATATATATATATACATATATATATATATATTATATTGCTGAAAAACCATGAAATTCTTGTAACTTGTAGATCCAAGAAAAGCGGAAATATAGTGTTGTCTAACCTTGCAAGATTCTTAATAACAATGTAGGAAGGCTTTGGTTACGAGCAAGAAGATTTAGGCAGAACTCTGAAATTGAACCGCAAAAGAAGAGAGGCCTTGAAATGAACCGAAGAGCTTTTTGGACGGAGACGGAGAGAAAGATGTATCCTCGACGCTCGAATGCTGTCTCTTTCACTCTCAAACTTTCGATGAATTCTTTGCTTTTAAGGTTGCCGGAGAAGAGAATACGTAGGAGATCCAAAACACTTGCTTCATCTGGTTTTAGTTGAAGGTATTTGTTGCTACTCACCTTCTCTACCTTGTTATGACGATCCATCATCTGTGTCATCTGTAATTGGCGTTAGTAATAATTCTCTTTTTTTTGGAGAACAAAATAGCAATATCGTCAAAAATATATTTATAACGAAGGTCGTTTATAAGCGTCTTCATTTCGATCCGATCTACTTTAATTTAGCTTACAGAAGAAGAAAGCGGATTTATTCTTATAGGTATATAACAACACTATGGGTCTGTTTGGTACGAAGGAAAATGTTTTCCATGAAAAATGTATATATGGAAAATGAGTGGTTTTATCACTTATTTTCCCTTGTTTGGTTGGTGAGTGGAAAACATTTTCCGGAAAATATTTTCTATTGTTTGGTTAGAGAGTAGAAAATATTTTTTATGCAACTCTCCTCAC